TTGATCCTCCCCCTATTTACGGGTCATACTACTCTCAGAAAATAATAAATAACCTCTCATTTTTCTTAAGAGGGGACCGAAGGAAGAATGGCAGAGAGAAGAAGAGGAGGGAAAAAGCTCCTCCTCGACCACCACCGGAATTTCGCCCGACTTTCAAGTGACGCCGGAATTCCACCCGACTTTCAATTGATGCCGGAGTTCCACCCCACTATCAAGTGACGCCAAAACTCGACCTCCCCCCGACTGTCGTCGGACTTCTACCCGACGCTGAACTTACATCCGTCGTCGGATTCCTGCCGGACGCTAGACTTCCGTCCAACACCATAATTATGTTGGACTTTTACCTGTTGTCGGACATTCGTCGGACTCCTATCCAACGCTAGACTTATGTCCATCATTGGATTTCTACCCGACTACAGTCCTTCCGACCTCCATCGTTAAACATTGATCTTTATGACCTCCGTCGCCCGCTGACTACAGTCCTTCCGACATACTTCGCCCATCGACTACGATCCTTTCAACCAAATAAACACATTAACAATGATTCTTTGTATTCCTATCATGCAATGTATTCTGTATGATGTACATCGAGCTAAGGCCTTCCCCCAAGGAAGGTCCTCATTTGTAATCAACTGCAAATACTAGTGGATTCATTCAAACTAGGCTAGGTCCCATGGCTTTTCCCCTTTTTCAGAGGTTTTCCATATAAAAATCCTGGTGTCTCATAAGAATGCAACACCGTCTCTTTTTATTTGTATGTGTGCTGGATCTTCGTACAATGCTAAGACGCTAAATTTTTTATTTCTCTACCGCCGCGAATACTCCAGGACGCAACAATATTCATACTCCTTATAATTGATAATAGCTAATGATTTTGTTGAAATAAAGAACTTCAGATGATTTGTTTCCCAATATGATCTTTTAAATCATTTGTCAGGTTCGAGCGATACTCCTACAAAGGATTTGTTGGGTTCATGTTGCATGCCACTTAATAGCGTTAAAATGCTCATTCATAAGAGGAGTGATGACTTGATTTGAAGAACTCTAATATTAATGATGTTGATGATTGATGGAAGAAATAAATTCAACCATCAAATATTTCTCAGCTTTTAGCTTGATCGTACTTTTAGATTTTATTTGCTTATTCAACTTTTACCATGTTGAATTTCAAAGTCAAAACAGTACGTTAAGATTTATTATTTTCAACAAACAAGAAAAAAAAATCCAAATAATATTTGTGAGGAATGAAAAACAAGAACACAAAGAACTTATATGATTCAAGTTCTTATGAACTCTACATCCACAACGCAACCTCGTTCATCATCCTTTTATTCAAATATGTGGATAAAATGGATACAAGACTTGCATATACAAAATTTGCTCAAACTTTTCAGCAGCAGCCTTCACTCGACTGAACCAAAACTATAAACTTGCTTAAGATAGTAAATAGCACCACCATAAAGATCTAAATAGATTATTATAATAGCTGCAAGAAATAGATACTAATAACCCCAATCAATTCCAACAACAAGATCTAAACATATCTTTTATGAGAAGAATAACATGAGGCTTCTAATATCAAGAAAAGAAAGCAAAAAAGTTCGGTAACATGAAACGAAACACAAAAACAAGAGCAATAAAGTAAGACACCAAACTTCCTAATGTAAATAGGAGAAATATACCTACATTTCTAGCATGTAGCTTAATATTTCAAAAAGAACAAGCTCTTACAGCACAACCGATAATCACATATAATTGTCTCTATAAAAGTGTCCAAGTCCTTGTCTTTTTCAGACAAAATTTCGGCAGCCTCCCGGCGTCTCCCCCGTTTAGGGGAAATTTTGGGAGACTAGCCTTCCCACCACGCGCAATAAAGGCGTGTATGATAGGTGCCCTCGGACGAGGACACCGCGGCCGTGTACTTTACTCTCACCAGGCGCAATAAAGGCGTGTATGGGGTCTTCGAGTGCACCTGCATAAAAATATCAATAAAGAAAAAAACACAATTTGCTTTCCCCTCGCTCGATGGTACTTATAAATGACTCCATTTCGCCATAGGCGCCGCACCGGGGTCCCATCCCACCACGCGCAATAAAGGCGTGTATAGGCTGTTTTCTGGTGCGCCGCGGACGCCGAAATGGACCTTAAGGTGTTTTCCCATCTCGTCGTAGGCGCCGCACCGGGGTCCCATCCCATCATGCGCAATAAAGGCGTGTATAGACGATTTTCCGGTGCGCCACGAAAGCCGAAACGAGAATCTGAGTTGGAAATTCATACCTTGGCAATGGTTGGTGACGACGGCGAGATGCACAAAAACCTTCTCTTTTTTTTTTTCTTTTTCTCTCTTCTTTTTTTTTTATATATACATATAAATACAAGAATATCTAAGAATAACATGAATATGTAAGAATATTAAATTGCTTGAAACTACAGCAGCTGTTAAATGTGCATGCATCCTTTCACAAGCCTCCAACACAAGTGCCAACTGATATTTTGCTTATATTGAGTAAAATCTAAAGTGGGCCAAAAAGTTCTGTTGTAACTAGCTCAAGATTCTTACCCTTAAGTATCTCATCAATTGGAATAAATATGGTTGTTGGTCTCAAAGCACCATAGATCTCTCCGTAGAATCATTATGAGGAACCAATTCTCTTATTTCACTGGGAAATTTAAAGTTTCCAACTTCAAGCTTTTCATCAGCCATTTTGCAAGCAACAAAGGATGTTGTGACACCAACTAGGGGGAAGATGGCAACTCTTGATACGTGATTAAACACTAAAATCAACATACCAACAACAGCAAGCTCCAAAGGGCCTATCTGCCCAATGCATGTGGTATTGATCAGTGATGCAATCGGATCAGCCATCAAAGCAAACTCTTCTTGTTCATTCCGTAGCAACAATCTTTGCTGATGATGCCCTCTTAAGATTCCTTACAGATTATCAAGGTCACTTCCTTGTATGGCACTTGTTGAGCTTCCCAATGGAATTCTCAGAATAGTCTAACAAAACCTCCACTTCTTCATCCTTTTCTGTCTCTTCTCCAACTCGTTGGGTGCAGGAGACTTTTGAGATTAGATCTGCTGCGCTAGGACTTTGAAGTCCTATATGAAGAGCCACCGTCACTACTTCTTCATCTTCCTCAGCATCTCGATCATTTTGTAGTCCTCATACGTTGTTCTTCTTCTTATTTTTTATGTTCTTCTTTGTCATGATGGAGAGTGGAAGAAGTTGGATTTTGTCTAAGGAGAGGATGAGCTTCTCGTTAGGGAGGATAGGAAAGTGGATTGTTATTTCAGTTTTGAGAAGAATAACATGAGACTTCTAATCACAAGAAAAAAACAAAAAAAACAAAAAAGTTGTGTAACAAGAAACGAAACACACAAACCGAGAGCAACAAAGTAATGCACCAAACTTCCTACTGTAAAAAGGAGAAATATACTTGTATTTATAGCATATAGCTTAATATTTCAAAAGGAACAAGTTCTTACAGCACAAAATAGCTTCCAATCGATAATCACATATAATTATCTTTATAAGAGAAGAAGAACAAGCTAGAGGGGAACAAGAAGGGTTCACCTTCTTCACACACATAGAAATCCACTGATTTTAACTCCTCATTTATTCTCTCTCGCACAAGAAATCCAGCACCGCCAAACCTTAGCTTTTTCTTGCAAATCCTTGCACTCACACCTGAACACAAAACCAAAGGCCCACTTCTTTTAACCCCCCCATCCCTCTCTCTCTCTCTCTCTCTCTCTCTCTCTCTCTCTCTTTGAAAGTCAATATGTCTAGTGAAAATAATTCATTTTCAGAGGCTTTTATTCACTGGAAATATCATATTTCAAAGGAACAAGTTCTTACGACACAAACCCGATTTCCAACAGACAATCACGCACGATCGTCCTTATTGGAGAAGAAGAACAAGAAGGTTTCATTATCTTCACACACACACACATCCACTGATTTCAACTCGCTATTTCTTTTCTCTCGGATAAGAAACCCGACACCGTCTAGCCTTTTCTTGCAAACCCTTGTTCTCACACCCAAACACAACACCAAAGCCCCACTTCTTTTATCCCCCCATCAACACCTCCGCCCCGGGTTGAAATTCAATATTCTGGTAGAAATAGTTCATTTTCGACGACTTTTGTCCCCCGAAAATAATTATTTTTTCTGTAGTGATATTTCAAAGGAATAAGTTCTTACGGTACAACCTAACTTCTAACCGACAATCAGGTACAATCGTCTTTCTGGGAGAAGAAGAATAAGAAGAATTTATCATATCCACACACAAAAATACACCGATTTCAACTCCCTAGTTCTTTTCTCTTGCACAAGAAACCCAGCACCGCCGAGCCCTCGCCCTTCTTGCAAACCCTTGCTTTCACACCCAAACACAAGCACCAAAGCCCCACAAGCTAACAATATTTAAATAATAAGCAAGAAAAAGGATAGGATGAGATAAGTTCGATTTTCTGAAATTAAAGAATAACAATAAATCTTTGAAAGAAATATTTTAATTAAAATTAATTAAATATTTTAATTTTAAATCAATTATATCAAATGAGATGATTGGTACGCTTATGAGAGGGGAATGATTCCAGATGGCAAATAAAATTGAAGTAAAACGAGGACTAAGTTTCAATGTACTAATAATTGTCATGTTCATTGTCTAATTGGGTTGCTATATGTTCATCCAATAATATGTTGAATCCAATACAACCCTCTTTATCGTTCCACATCCCATAATGAGATGCTCATATGCAACATCACGTATAAACAGTCACCCTTTCCCCTAAAATACTGACCTCTTAACCTCTAATGTGGGTTAAGAAATCTGAAAAGTAGAGCACAAAAATAAAAACAAAATGCAACTCACATCTCAATAACAGCATGAAGAATGAGTTAAATAAAATTAAAGTAAAAAATAATTGACATAAGATTATAAATGATAATACTTTTTGTTCAATTTGACAAAGATGAGGCAACTCCTACATGTTACAGATAAATTAAACAAGCACTCATTGACTAATTTTATTTTCTCATTTTGTGGTACAGAAAGGCAAACTACAAGCTGCCAGAGGCATTTTAGAACTGGCATGACACTTTTTTGTCAAGCTATTGATCTACAAAGTGTGAAACTACACTATATTTGGAGAGGAGAGGGGGCCTGTTAAGGCTCCAACCAACATAACACAAACCCTACAGCTTATCTATTATTAAGATCTTCCTAATTCAAGTTTACATTATTTTATTACACATTTAATACTAAACCACATCATTAGAGGGGCTTCAATACCTATAAAGCATGAAGCAAAACAACAGGATAACCAGAAAGGAGAGGAATAGTGAGGTCTCAGTGCATGCCGCCCATACTAGCTTTGAAGTTAGAGCGAGAGAGTCTTGGAAGCTTGAAGAGCCCGACAACACCGCACAAGAAGGCGAATGCAGATGCAAGAGCAAAGGCAGGGATATTGCCTTTGTTGAAGATAGCATCCCATGGCCCCGCTCCTAGTGCTATGATCACCTGATTGTTCAGAAGAACAGCATCCACAAATCATGATTAAACAGTAACAACAATATTAAAAAAAAGACTTATATTATCGGTGTTCAAAGAGCATGATTCGATTTAGTTTCAAATTGATCGATAGTTCAGTTTGGTTCAATTCAGTTTAAATTAATTTTTCAGGCCCAGTTTAGTTTAGTTTAGATCAACAAAAATTAGAAGCAGAAATCTGATTTATGGGCAAGAATAAGAAGATTAAGTTATCCTTTTTAATTAGATGGTTTCATATACATCTCATCTTATATCATAGTTAAATTTATTCATTTTACTAAAACTCCAAAGCTAAACCAAACTAAAACGAATGACTGAATGTTGACTACAAACCTGCGGTATGACGATAGAAATATTAAGGACTCCAGTACACAGCCCTGTAAGATAAAAAATTTCACAAATTATGAACCTCGCTTGGCCCCTCGAATGAAAAAATAAAAAATAAAAATAATTCAAAGAAAACAAGTTTGTAGCAGAAGACTAGAAGAGCATATGAACCTTGGCCACCTCCTTCGTTTGCAGCTAACTGTGCTGTTACCGCAAAAGGTACACTGTACAAAATCTACAAACCGCCAAATAATTTCCAAAACTTAAAAGAGTTAGAACATGCGTCAATTCTCTTGAGATCAGACAATACTCAACAAATAGTGAATTAAGCAGGTACTCACCGCTAATGGAACACCGAGGATTGAAAACACAAACAGAGCAGCTGCTTTCACTTTACCATCCGGAGTGATAATAACATCCTGGATGCTGCCATGGTAGCTGTGCAAAGACCAAGTGCTGATGATGGCAGTGGCAGCCATGCAGATAAAAACAAAGAAGTTGCTTGCCACCCACACTATTCTAGGGGTGAACTTGCGGCACATTGGCTCTATCAGGAATGTGGTCACTCCAAGAACAACCTAGCAAGCAAATTTTAAGCAAATCTGAAGAGTGAGTGACACTAAAAGCTAAGCATTTGAGTGCAATGCTGAATGCATAAACTCACCGAGTTTATTAGCAAGCCGAATGCACCAGCCCTGATTCCATCGTTATATGCTTTCATCTGAGCTGGGGTTCCCTTCGGATTTCCATGAAAAACTTCGCGGCCCATCCAGTCGGTATCATAAAGGATGAATGGAAACCATGAAAGCTACGAGAACGCAAAGAAATGAAAGGTGAAGCAAAACACTTGACGTGGGGAGAGAAAGAGAGGCATAGAGATTCTTTTTACTTGGATGTTTCCATGCAGTTAAATGGAAGAATGGAATACCTACCCAAGTGAGGGAAGTGACAAGAAGCACTGAAGGCATTCCTGGTGGAAGATTCTTGATACTTTTAAAAATGTCCATTATTCCCACCCTATCCTCTGCAGCCTCAATTCTTCCTTTGATGGATGGAAGAGGCTCTTCTTTAGCAACAACAAAGGTTACCATCACACTGAATATAAGGAAGACCTGTTCATTGTTTGTAATCAAATCAATTGTATGAGCATTCATCGGGAAAAAATCTTTATGAAAAAATGACATTAAATATTAATTAATTGAAATTATGTATGCCAATAAAGGTAACAAATAGATATGCGTACCACAGCAACTAAGAATGCCCCTTTCAAATTTGCACAAGCTTCACAGCAGGCCTTATTTGACAGGAAAGGAATCCACCTGCCCCAAGAACACAAATCAAGAACCAATTGAGTGGCGTTTAGATAAGTCACTAGTTAATTTCCCAAAAATAAAATTAGAAGGATGAAATAACACAATTTAGTCAAGGATAAATTTGGGATCCATTATGAGCATATGAATTGAGGTTATCAAAGAGGGCTGTGTGTATTTATTATCAACTCAACACTGAATTTGGCCAACACATTACCATGGTTAACAGAAATCCCCACAAATCAACTGAGCAAAAGAAGATTAACCAAAGTTTATGGGATCAATAGAGGTAGATTGAAGTTGACCAAAGTTGAGCACAGCCAAGTATGCTCAAATGGTGTTGCCCGTGCTAAATTTGAGTAGATCAGTCATTAATATAGCAAGGGTAGGATTGACTACTAATTACAGATATTGAATTTGAGTTAATTATCCTATAACTTAAGAGTAATGGGGTAAAGTGGTTTTGGGATCAAGCGGTGACTATTGGGTAAATTTTGGATATACTAATGTCATAGATGACCTTGAGTTGACCGGCCATGACCAAGTAGCTTTTTGGTAGATCGGGCTGATCCTTTGGCTTATGAATGAGATGGGTATGAATGTGATGGGTATCAAGTTTTCCTAACTCTTTCTTAAAGGTATTGATGTGAACCCCCTTTCGATATAACAACCCGACTAGACTCATCACTATATTGTACATTCCTACTTAGAAACTTATAAAGGTCAACAATTGCCAATAAGAAGTTCAGAGTTTTATGTGGTAAAATTATGTGGTCTCTGTTTTTATGCTATAGCATATCTTAAAACATACTTGTGCCACTCTCCACTAGCACCAGATGAATAACCAAGGATGTTTCCAATAGCCATCCATGAAGCAAATATTGCATTCGCTGCATTGCATCCATGAGGCCCTGTAAATTATAAATAAGCAAGTTAATAAATAAGCCAATTCAAATGCCCGTTATTGTAGAAAATATCATGTTTTTTTTTTCAGAACATCACATTTCCATTTTCCTTTTCTCCAATCTATTCTTTAGTTCCTAAAGGAAAAAAGAAAATAATGCACAATGGAGTAACAACAAGCTCGATCACCTGAGAGATCAGCCATGAGAGCTCGGGCTGGACCCTGAAAACAACTTGCCTTAGGTTAGTAGAGCTCAAGGGTAATTAAATTCAGTAATTGAACACTATAAGCACAAGCCAATCACCTGGACTGCATTGTTTGATAGATCAAGCATCCAAAATCCAGCTACAAAAACAAATGCAGCACGCCATCGTGGACCATGGTACACACTATTTATGTAAAAAGAAATCAAATACAGAAAATAATGCATCAATGATATATGAATTTACACAAGCAAAAACTTTTAACACATTGTAAATGCTAAATCCACTTTTAATTACCTGCAATGTTCCTTGGTGTCACCTAACTTGTAGCCAATGTCAGAGGAGAAAGCAATTACAATCACCTAAGAAAATAACATAATTTCAAATAATAAATACATATTATAACAAAATAGCTGCATGTGTAGATGCAATATCTTATTGCTACACTTACTGCAGAAGAAATCAGCAAGCATCCGACAAGTATGAATGGCCTTCTCTTTCCAAATCGTGAACGGCATCTGTCACTCCATAAACCAACACAAGGTTGAACCTAGAAGAAAAAAGAGTGAATTTTGCAACAACAAAATAGGACTAAGCATGATCAATGCTTCTTTACACAAAAATATGGGTGTACAAGCATTGTTCACAAAAGATTTCTCTCAACCCAATCTCAACATAGTGGGTCCATCAAGCGTGCCACTTCACGCATTCACACGCATGTCAGCGTGGTTGTATCAGGGCATAGTTACCACTCCCTTCCAATGCCACCATACCCTCAAAATGAATGTCTATAAAAGTTACGGCCCATGATGCAAAGCCAATGCTAACTTTAAACAATATCAAGATAAATTAATTTTTAAATTAAAGAATGGGTTGTTTAAATGGAGTGAATAACTTGAGTATCATATAAACACTTTTGAGAGATTTATGAGATCTTGATTTTTTATATTGATATTATTAGAGTTTTAAAATTTACATAAATCCACATCTTTATATGCCCCTGTTTACCTACTTTGCGACATTTTGCATTCGAAAAGGGATTCGAGGCAAAAAATTCTCATAAATTGAGAGAGGAGTCAGATACCATAGTAGTGAAATCAAGATATGTAGTGTAACCGCAATGCATACAGGACAATGAACAGTCTAATGACATCAGCATAATGTGTCTCTCCACTATGCACATGTCTCATAATCTGCACCGTTGATTCATAATAACGGTACATATTTAGTATTGATAAATTTATCAGGTGCATATTCAGTATCAATAAATTTATCTTAACCTGCAAATAAGTGTACTGAAGACATCCCTTGCTAGTGTACTTGGATGAGACACAACACAAATTGGGTGAAATAGCGTGATGTTTAGCCCTTAGGACTTTGAGAGTTTAAAGAAGATCTTCATAAAAGGATATTTGGGCACTAAATGCTAAAACATGTACATCAAAAGTTAAACTTTGATGTCAAGTGATATATAGATAATTTTCCTTCTAAATTAAGATTTCTATTAATGTGATTTACCCTTCATCCAAGTAGCTAAAAAGGTATTAACTCTAGCTTTTACAATAAGGGGTGACATGAAATAACAATTGGCTCCTACCCCATGGGGTGATATAATAAGCAAAATATGATAACTATTGTTCTCTTAGGGGTGATAACACATTCTCACATATCACTAAATTAAATCACATTAAAACCCACCATTAGTCCTCAAAAGCTTTTACTTTGATAAGGTATTTCATGTTTGCTAATAAGGCACCCAAGTCAGAGCTAAAGTTAACTAACTTAGATGCTAAAAAGTTGCAACTAGCTCAACGGCTCATTATTAATGGCAAAAATAAACTAGTGCTTATAATTACATTACAAAGCTCCTAGATTTAAATCAATCTAATCATAGACAAGGCTCCCTAAACTCTTTGAATTGAATCACAGTAGATAAAACACTAGAAGAGGGAATCATGAAATGTTAATAAGATCAATCATTCATCCCCTCATTTACGTCGCATGCACAAAACACCACAAAAGGACATAAACATTTATGATTGTCATTTCGTAAAATAAGTACTTTAAAAGTCAATGTTGAGCTATCTCTTTTATTGAGAACACTTAATTCATAAGCATAATTAACTAAGGGACTCATGCGCATAAGAGATTGTGAACTCAAATCTAAATAAATAGTGGAACTCATTTTAAGAGAAATTTGGTCATAAAGTTTTTTTTTTTTTTTTTTTTATAAAAATCTTATGTTTGCTCATGGAGAGAAAACAAAGGGCTTCCTCTCAGAAGCACATAATAGTCAATGTATTATAATGTTTGGTTATAACTTGAATATGTTTTTTTAATAAAAGAACCCAAATTTCCTCATAGGGAGCAAAGTGGATTTTTTTTAAGGAATTCATATTTAGTCTTATTTTGACTATACTTCTCACTGACTAAAATAGACTCACCCAAAGACAAACCATTAGGTTAAGGGGTTGTTTGGTTGGAAATAAAGTGTAAAGTAAAGTGAGTGCAGGAGTTTTAAAAGTTCGGTGTTTGGTTGGATGAAAAACAAATTCAAGGTAAAGTAAATAAATGTAGTATATTCCATTCTAGTTCATTTTTGATATAAATCGTTCTCTTCTAGTTTTGAGCGAGAACCATTTACACCGCTCCAAAGCTTGCTTGACCGCCATCAATGCCGACCGCCGGCCACCACCCACTACTGTTGCAGCAGCCCACCCCAGCAGTCGCCCACCGCTGCCTTCGCCAACGCCACTATAGTCGTCGCCCACCATTGCCCTCCAATGTCAGTCGCTGGTTTTCGACTGCCAACAACCACCCCGAACACAACCATTTTACACTACTTTACAATGCATTCACTTTACTTCAAATCAAACAAAAAAAGTAAAGTGTCATTCATTCGTTTTACACTCATCCAAACACTCCAAAGTATTCCTTATACATTGTATTCTCTTTACACTGTATTCTTTTTTCAGGCAACCAAACACCCCCTAAGTGTAAAAGTCGTTCTTTTGGGAAGATTTTGTTAAAAAAAAAAAAAGAATTCTTTCAAGCTACAAATGGATATACAACATGTGTCATTTCCAAAAAGAGCCACTTTGGATGGCAAAATTTCCGAGTGATTCATATAAATCATTTGCATAACTTATAACTCGAATCAAATATCAAGTTAAAATTTTTGTATCACTCCTTACAAGAATATTGTTGGCTAGTGATCGGTGAGTAGGCTCAATCCCAAAATAAGATATTTTGTGAAAAGATGATGATCATACTTATTAAAACATTATTAAGGGTTGTGGCTCTATTGTAACTAATCAAGCACATTTGCAAAAACTTAGAAATAAACCCAAATCAGGGACAATTCCTCCATTTTTTTTCCCTTTGGAAGCAAACATAATCTAAGAAATTATGATCAATGACTGCTTTGCTCTCCCCACGACCGACAATGCTAAGGATATTTTGACGGTATTTGCGAGAGCTATGGTGTTGTCTTTTCTTCTATTCTCTTTGAGATAATCTCCAGCCAATTGATTCTTAATTTGACAGACAGGTCCCTCCTATATTCCTTGAATCAGTGATCATCAAGATTAACTTGTACAAATTTAATCTCATTCATTTACATATTACATTCCTAATGTTTCTTGTTTGATCTCTTAATCCAGCAAGATATTTATTTACTCCAATGTTTCGTGCCTGTTCATCTAAGGTAAAACATGCACCATTAAGATATTTTATATGAAATGAAAAGTTTTAGTATGCGATTTGATTCTGACAAGATAACCAACTTATGGCATAAATATTTAAACGCTCATGAAACTATTAATTAAAACTTGGCTCATCTGCTAGTTACTCATGAAGAGTGAGAATATCATCCCAAGAAATCAAGGCAAATAACATATGAATTTTGTTTCACGTATAAAGTAATAACCTGTTTGATATTGAAGCAAAAAAAACTGTTAGTGATAATGTTTTCAGTGCGATGATAATGGATGAGTAAATGGAAATATAGCCACAAAATTTTAACCCATCTAATTAACAATATTTAATTGTCCGTAAAACTTAGTGCTCGCAGGATCAAACGCTTACCACAAAACCAGCAACGGGACCGCATAGCCACATCAGCGAAGAGAGTGCATGCGACAATCCAAGCGTCTGCAAACAAAAACCAAACCAAACAACAACAAAAATTATTAGGCTCCAGCTTGTTTTTTCCCCCCTCAAAAATGACCTTAACTTTGAAGTTATTATACAAGTTTGAAAACAATTTATATTCACGCCATGCTAGTTCTAAAATACATCCGCAGAATAAGTAGCTTCTCGTGATTATTCTTGTTGTTCTGTCAAGTTAGTAGAAACTGAGATTTCTTTACATTGGCTTACTTTTTTAAGCTAAATACTACTTTTACCGGAACTTTAGATATTTTTAGTCTTCGAAGGTGGAGAAATCCGGGCATCTATTCTCCATGGGAAGAGTGACATCACTTCTTCTAAGTTGTGAATTTATTTATTTATTGAAATATTTAAGCTAGTTAAGTCAAATTCACACAAAAACTTTTAGTTGATAATCAGAGCTCTCAATCAATACATCAAGATGATCTTTGTTAAATTTATTATTCAAAGAAGATTTATATATATATATATATATATATATATAATTGACCATTACTACTAAAATATGTCTTAGAAAAACAACCTTCCCTCCTAACATGAAGATTCAATATTCTCTTTAGGTAAAATATATATCACTCTTGGATTTATGTTTTTATTCCAATCAAACTTCTGATATATATATATATGAGGATGTTCTTTGCTGCATCTAATTTAAGATATAAATCATTTTCATTTAATTGTAATACATATTTATTAAATTGCAAGCCGTATTCTATTTCATAAGACAATAATCAAGATAGATCAGTACACCAATAAATAGAAATAGATAATACTCTCTCCTAAATATTATTGGTCTATATATGAAAGTAGAAGTCAAATAAACTTTTTGAGTAATATTTTTTGGGAGTCTATTATTAGACATCTCAATAATTAACCACTAGGTGCATAGCCCAAACATATTATCCAGAAATTGATTCTTTAAAATAATAAAAAATAATAATTTAAATTTTCTCCAAAGCAAAAAAACCAGTCTTTCAGCTTGCTTTGCAATTATTAAAAAAAAAATCTTTTCTCTTAGTTGAATTTAACAATATGAAGCAGGAGTCTATCATTTTCCACAAAACAATCATTTTTCTTGACCGAATTAAAACCCTCGTGATTAAAATTAATAATAAAAATAATAGAAGAGAGAAAAATAAGAAACAAAAGAGACGCTTTCCCTTTAAAAAAGTTCTTTCCGCGAACTAGAAGACGCCCGCAAACATCCAAGGCATATATACCGAACGGGGTGACCACAAAAGAGACCAAATTATCAAAACTTTTCTCGTGTACTACCACTTGCACACCACGCCCGCGATACAACCAACTATCTCAACAACCATCTCAAGTAAAAAAAAAAAAAAAATTTATCGTAAACGAATAGAAAGAAAAATATGAGACGTAAAAAAAACATAATTTTTTTAAAGCCAAAAATAACAATCGGGACAAAACGCTTAACGATCCATGCCCAAAAAAAGTGAAAAACAAAAGTTCTGAACAGCAAAGTGCCCGAAGCTATATTAAAGCAAAAACATGGTATGGGAATTAAATGCAACTCAAAATTCAAAAAACAAAAATTCGAAAGCGAGCGGGATAGGATTGCAAAGACTGACCTGAACATAGGGGGTCAGCAGCGATAATTGCAGGGCCCATCCGTACTGCACACCTCCGGCCACCATGCATGAAAAGAAGAGCCTCACCAGGCTTATCGGTTTCGGTGCCGTCGTCGCCACATTGTTCGGCACCGAAATTCTGGCACCCGTAAGCTCCATCTCCCCGCCTCGGCTTTGCTCCGTCGAACTCATCTCCGCTCCCTTATATGAACGCTCTCCAAATAAATCGCCGACCCTCAATACCTCGAGCCACCTCTTCGATTAGGGTTAGGGTTCCGATTAAGTTCCCTCGCTCTCGAATCCTTTTCTTTGAAGAAGAAGAAGAAGAAGTGATCTGAAAATAAAGCTGCTTGGAGGTTCATCCCTTGCGCAAATATATAGTGCTGCAAGCTCCCCACGTCCCGGTGTGATGTGCCTTTATCCCTATTCTCTATTTCAGAGGGCCCGCACGTGAATTAAACTTGTAGAATGTCCGGCGTTCCACGAAGCTGGAGCAGAATAATAAGGAATGCGCCGCGGATCGTAGGAACGGATTCTGAAACATGGATGGTGTTGTCGGGGAGCGCTATGGTGACAGGGACAGTCAAAGAAATCCTTTTATTTTTTTAATTAAAAGGTCATTAAAAAATTAATTAAAAGCCAACTTGTCTCTTAAAATGATCTTACCGACTTCTTATAATTTCTTGTTAAAATTGGGACTTTTTGAATTTTCAGTAATGCAGAAAAAAGAAAATAAAAAAGAGCTTATCACTTAGCGATCAAATTTGAGACTAACAACAGCGCCGATTGCAACTTGAAAATTATTGGGATTGCATCGAAATACTGCCGACTCCTTCAACCGATTTTAATTATCTTTGAATTTTAAAAGTTTTATCTCATCTTATAAATATTTTAACAATAATATTTTATTATTCTCATCAATGTCTTAATCGTTGTTAATTATAAAATGAAATGCCATGAAACTTGTAAAGAACGATAATGCTTTTTTGCTTATAATTATTTGCAAAGAGCGGCTCATTCCTCCCATTGATGATTGCTCGGCTTCTCCTCCTTCCTCTCGGATCCTCCACACCTACCCAACCGCACAGAGCTTTTGGTAATAATTCTTTTTTTTTTTACATGTCAAAGATGATTTTTTCTTAATACACGCTTATCATTAAAAGCTTTTAAGTTTGGAAAGATTTTCGTATTATTTTTTAAAACAATTTTTTAATAAGAAAATTAAAAAAAAAACATTAAAAAAGTCGCCCCAAAGATTGTAGTCGATAGGCGACGTAACTCAGAAGGACCGTAGTCGGCGCGCGACAGAGGTCGGGAAGATTGTAGTCGATGAGCGACGTAAGTCAGGAAGACCGTAGTCGGCTGCCGACAGAAGTCGGAAGGATGGCGTCAGGTAGAAGTTCAACAATGGATAGAAATCCAGCATTGGATAGATGTCCAACGAAAGTCTGATAACCGGTACGTTAGAAGTCTAGTATCAGGTAGAAACTTGGTAATGAGTGAAGGTCCGGCGTCGGGTAGAAGTCCGACATCTTTTGGTGGCCGAGGAGAACTCCGGTATCACTTGGGCAGAGTTTCAGCGTCAGGGGGGAACTCTGTTGTTACTTGGACAGAATGTTAGCATCCCGTGGAAGTCAGGCAGATTTCTGGCGTCCCGTGGAAGTTAGGCAGAATTCCGACGTCATTTGGAGTTCAAGCGAAACTCTGGCAGTAGTCGAGGAGGAGTCTCTTCCCTCCTACTCTTCTCTTCTCCTCCTCTTCTTCTTTTGCTTGCACCTTGGCTTGGGGCGCCCCCTCACGAGAATTGAGGGGCATATTTATAGATTTTTGGAGTGGCATGGCCCATAAATAGGTGAGAGATCATGGGCAAATTGGGAGTGGTTTGAATGGACGACCGATATTGAATCCCTTGATTGTGGACTGTTCGTTAGACATTTGAAGGTCTTAATGATGTCAGAATTTTTTGATCATGGGTTCGTTGGATTCGTCTCGTCGAGCCGCTCGATTCGACTATAAGTACGTTTTGTTTGGAAACCGTTTGGTAACTCAAATTGTTGTTCAAACCTTCCAAACGTGCTTCGGGTCCTTGATTTGGAACCATTTAGGCTCGGATCGAGTTGAATTTGATGTCGTTGGGTTCGTATTTCCAAGACGATCAGTTCGACTATAAGTTTGCCAAAATCGGTGTTCATATGATCCCATAATTAATTTTTGAAATTTCCGGCTTGATTTTGCATTGAGATTCGTGTCCGATCAAGATAATTTTATGATGATGTATCAATGATAGAGATGGTTTTCACTCAAAGTAGTTTTGTATCTTAGTATTTTATTCTATAGGACGACTCTGAGTTTGAGGTCAAGAGAAAAAGTAGGCTTATCCTCATCATATGGTAATTTGTTTTTTTCTATGAGTATTCTCGATCTCGTTGATTTTGTTTTGCTTTGTTGTTGTTCTGATATCAATTACAGATCACAAAATGCACAAAAAAATTTTACAAGAAAAATCTTGAAAGGAAAAAAAAAATAACGAGCTTAGCCCATTTGAAGCAATTTAATTATATATAGAGAGAGAGATTTAAAACAATAAGGTTTTCTCAACTATTTGAGAAGGTGTGATTACAAGGATTGTGTTGTCGTGGGAGTCCCATGATGACAATGGAGAATGTTGTTGATAATCAAGTTCAGGGGCATGCACTATCGTCGGTTGGCTGTAGGATTTAGTGAAGGCACCATTGGTAATGAGGGGAAGCTAACAATATTGTTGGTGTTGTAAATGTGTTGGGATTTCTTGAGGAGGAGAGGTTTCTTGAATGCTTCTACTTAGAGAGAGATGGGGAGGGAAGAAAGAGAGAGAGGGAGATCAGATTTTGGAGGAAAATAAAATTAAAGCTTATTTAATTTTCCTCACTTTTACAAGAAAATCTAAATCTCTATTTTAACACTAAGAAGCAGAAAAGATATATAACAAATTAGCTACAACTGGATCAAAATACAACAATCTCCACCTTATCCGGCCAATTTTACAAAGCTAAGAAAACACCTGTTTCCAATAAAGAAAAGCTCAAGGAAAAAAAAACTTCATGCCGGTGGCCACTTCTCTACTTGATCTCTTGCACAGCGAGACCCGCAACAACAACTCTTACTTGTGCGAAATTGAGTGTCCAAGAAATACGCAGCCTGCCCCCGTGTAGCTTCCTGCTAGTCTTGACCTGGCACAGCCAAATCTAGGATGAATATGCTTCTTGCTTACTCGATCGAATTGAATGAGATATGTTCTCGTGCACAAGATCTCACTGAAAATTGCAAAAAAAGAACTAACTAATTTGACTTATTAATTTACTAATTTTACTTGATAAAATGATAATTATTGCAATTTGTAATATTTTTACAAAATAATAGTTTTGACATTTTAATTTAAGTATAGTATCAATACAATTATTGTGAATGAATATGGGCATAAAATTGATTAATAGTTGATTGTTATTACTGCTGTAATAATATGTGTGAAAACATGTAAATGTTTATTATTTACTTGCATTAGCTCGAGACTGATTGACCAGTACATGACGGTGGGCCGATGGACTTTCCTTTTAATACCATGATTTTGTTTTATAAAATCTCAACTATAGTTCATGCATGTGATTAACTAATTAAGAGTTATACGAAAATGATTATTGTGTTGACAGACAAAGAGTGATGACTCTGTTTACTGAGCCAATGGTTACTAAATATTAAAAAAAATACCACGAAACTCATAACTCCTCATTTATTTTACGTGATTACTAGAATGCATGCTAGTATAATAATTTACTATCACTGTATTATTTTATCATTACTATTCATTTACTATAATTGTATTATTATACTATTTTACTGTTATAGATCATGTGATTCTTATTACTGAGTTTGTAATATAAAATATTGATTTGATACCGATATAGATAACTGAACATCATATGTATACTTTTATATGATTTCTTGATAATACTGCATTACTAGGTCAGGGTTCGGATGGTCTTCATAGATACTTTTATTTTATTAATTTATATGATTTCCTTATTAATTGGATAATATTACTACGACATATGATTTAAGAATAATTATTTACTCTTTTATTATTTTGACATTCATATTATGTGACACCGAAGCTAAGTTGTTTGATTGTATTAATTTCAGTATAGTTTCATTAATTACATTTGTATCTTATATGGCTATATAGGATTAGTGCTTGCTTATGTTGTGTGTAGCCCCTAATAGGTAACCGTTGTCTATAAATAGGTAGCTATTGATTGTAATAAAGGAGATTTTTGAAGATGAATAATATTTGAGTAGTTTTTGAGTTTTTGATTGTTATTCGAGGAATTTAAGGATGTTGATACCCCCTCGATCCAAAGACATGCGCATGCTGATATGTCTTGAGGGTTGTTCGGGGTTGTAAAGTTTCATGCAGGCATCGTGTGTGTGTAATCACAACGCGCATACGGCAACCCACCTCCCCCCGCCCCCCACGCGAACGTTTATTTGGTATCAAAGCTAGTGCGTACACTCTTCTTGCTCAGTATCCTGTTCAATTGGTCCTCAAGTAGTGAAGCAAAAGACCCTGGTGGTGAAGCTCTGGGGCAAACCAATAGTCGCCAAGCCCCCAAGTGTCTGGATTGGTGTCATCTTCCTTCAAGTATCTAGCTCAATGTGGATGAGACGTTGACCTAGGCTGCGAGTACGTTCGCGTGGAAGATCACGGAAGCCAGTCAGTGGTGCACGCTTGTGTAAGCGAGCAGGGCATCTTAGCCAGAATCAAGAAGAAAATCCTTCTTCCTAATTTAACAAGAAGATCCTTCTTCTCTGTGTTGGTCGTGATATCCTCTGTGATCCAACAGTCGCCAAGCATCCAAGTAGCTAGATTGGCATCATCTTTCAATAAAGCCGACAGGAATCATGGTGGCTATAATTCTTCATCCAAACATCAAGGCAGCTGATGTGAGCCATCAAGAACAACAATTTCTTCCTCCCAAATTGATCTTGTTGATGTCCTGTTTTCACATCCGTCCAAAAAATACAAAACTACAACAAATTTCATCGAGGTAATTGATTCTAGCATTTCAGCCGAAGGAGGTAAGGGCTGATATCTTTAAGCTAGAGTAGGCCACCAATTGCTTCCATCTTCGAACTGCGAGACCAAAGTTTTCTTTTCATTTTCTTGAAAGGATTCGGTCTCAGGCCCTCAGATATGTGCCTCTTTCTCACCAATAATCTCAGCCTCTCTCATTTTCTCAACCCACGCCATGGCATCCGAAACCCTCTCCGACAAGAACTTTATCTTCAAGAAGCTCAGATCCAAGTAAGAAAACAAGATGCC